CGCACTTCCTGTCTGCTCCAGCTGTGCTACGGCCAACAGTGAACTGTGTGGCGGCGCCCGCTGCTACGGTCCAGAGTCCAGAGTCCAGAGTTACAGTAGCTTTGGGGGGCCTTATTATCGGAGAGGACTTATGTTCAGGGAGGTCTTATTTTCGGGGGATGCCTTATATTTCAGTGAGAGGCAAAATTGTAAGTAAGTCTTATTTTCGGGGGATGTCTTACTTTCGGGGAAACACGGTAGCAACAACATCCCTTTGCTCCTTTTATCAGTCTTTCATATTGTACCAACATGACAATGGATTCCAGTGGCACTCAAACTGAAATGTGTCCTCCCAAACTCCTTCACTTCATTAGAACACCAACAATAATGGAAAGGCACTCCAAAGTTGAATTGGAAAAGAATTTGCAAAGGCAAGCAGGAAATAAAATTGGCTTGCCCGGTTGCCACAGTTCATGATAAAGCATTCACCCCAGTCAAGGTGCCTTTGCTCCTCTCTGCACCCAACTCCAAGAAGCCTAGTGTAGAGAGTCATTTGTTACTAAGTTCCATTCACATGTCTGTTTCTTGAATATCTGGTACTGAGTTTTGTGAAAGGGCTGCCTGTTTTGCTTTGGTTTCATTTAAATAACCATTTGTCTTTCATCACTCGCCCATCCCTAGTATTTCTCAGAAAAAGCGAGATGATATCAGTAAAAAGGTTCTCTAAGTAAATCCTTGTAACAATGATCATTTCAGAAATTATAATGACAATTATGGGTGGAAGTATTAAGAGAATGATATTGCAAGACACTGACTTCTGCCTGGGCACTTCCTTTTTGTTTTCCTAGGAACCAGGTAAGATGGTACGTGCCAACTAGTTGACGAGCTGTCTTACTTATCTAGTGCTGCTAATGCAGAAATACCCAGAATGGATGACTTTAAACACAGGGAAACTTTCTCTCACACTTTAGGCAGCTAGGGGTCCAAATTCGTAGTGCCAATTCTGGAGGAAGGCTTTCTTTTGCTGTGCTCTGGGTCCAGGTCTTTGTCTCTTTTCCGCATCCATAGGCCTCGCGTTCCTTGGACATAGCCCTATGTCTTGGCATCACAGCTTCACAGTGCAAGAATCAGATCAGAAGGACACCCTCCAGCCCTGGCTCTTCTTTCTTTGTGCTTGTACGTCCCCCTCTCTCTCCTCACCTCTCTCCTATCTCTTGTAAGATAAACTTGTTTCTCCTTTTATCGCTTGTAAAATAAAAAGGGGTTGAAGACCATACCCTGAGGAAACTTTCCTTCCAAAGGGTAGGGGCTGTGAGGGGGTTAGGTTGTGACATCCCCACCTCAACCATCTTGTTGGTTTATCACATCACGGGGCTCATCACCTAACTGACACATGACACCTTGCATAACTGTCAAACTAGGAAGAATCATGGCCCCATCAGGTTAACAGCACGGGCTGAAGAGGCACAATTTAATCCATGACACTAGGAAAAAATACTTCCCGGTGAATACAATACGTCTAAACCCGAAGGATTGTAAACAGTTTGTATGGAAATCTTAGTCCACAGTTTGAAGCTACCAGCCACTCCGTGGGAGACCGACAGACTTTCTACTGCCGTAAACAGTTATGGTCTTGGGCACCCACAGGGGCAATTCTGCCCTGTGCAATTGGGTTGCCCCGAGTCAGTATTGAGTCATTGGCAGTGAGTTTGGCTTTGGGTTTGTATGGAAGTCTTAGCCTTTGGCTTCTTTGGATGATTCCTAACATGAAGCATATCCCTTCATGCCAAGAGGACTTTGGAAGCTATGCTAATTGAGCTCCTTTCGGTAGTATTAGTTTCCATGTGTGATGAGACTCATTCAAGGCAGTTCTTAGGTTGGTAGATAGCTCTTTGAACCTGATATGGTTCACTTGAGAAAGGATAGCTCCCAGAGGGCTATATAGGCTGTCACTTACTTTTATTGCTATAATGCATTTGGCTGCCCTGCTGCAAATCTGATTCCTGACCTAAGAGTATATCTTCTGAGTATACTCATGAGCTGTTATTGTCTCTGGAGTCTGAATGCTTAAACTTCAGAGGACTCCCTAGAGAACATTAAAGGACATTTCTATATTATACTATGCTATATTTGTGACATCTTTCTTGCTTCTTATGTCATCATTTATAAAAGAAAAAAGAAAGATTAGAGAAGGCTTCCTCTAAGTGTGGCCTCAGATAACCAATGGAATCATTTTGGGTATAGATTCCCATGTCCAACAATTAGATCGGACTCCCTGGGGCGGGGGCCTCAGAATCTACATTTTCCATAATCCCCTTGCCCTCTCCTGATGATACTTGGTCACATAGGCACACCAGCTGCTCTTTAGAATCTTTTCTAATTCTAGCTTTCTGTAACCCTACAATTCCAATGGCTGATTCCTTCCATTTTACATAATGCCATAATTCTTAATTCTTTAGAAGACAATCAAGGAAGGAATAAGTAACTGGGAGTTCCAAAAATGGCAACAGGCCTATGGGATAGACTCTTTTAAATTGTCAGGTTTGGAGAAACACCCAGAATATTTTCCTATCAGTACCTACCTCTTTCAGGGTCTTCTTGGCCTCTGATCCGTAGGAGTTTTAAGATGCCCAACTCCTTCAATGCCTGCCACGTGATATTCCTGTTTTAAATGCTGGCTTGTGTTTTTCGTAACATGCTAGCAACATTTTTGCCGTTGCATTGACTGTAAGGTCGTGACTTCTGCTAGAAGGTCAAAGATTGTATTAGGCCTGACCAAACAAGTGAAAATCAATATGTTCACTCTCTTTAGGAGAATGAGTTTCATACATACTTGAGCTGAAAGCAAAATTCCCTTTGTTGTTCTGCTGAAGTGGTTAAGCCTTCCATTAGTCTAGGTTAAGTTTCTGGGGTTATGACTTTAATTTTAGTTTCTAATATTGATTTATATTTCATAAAGGCTTTGTTTGTTATGAACAACTACTTTAAAAAATCCTCAGCAAATTCTGCCACTGCAAGGGAATTGCTTTAGTTCAGAATGAGATGTATGTCTCCCTGGTTCCTTTCCATTTGCGGACTTTAATTATCAGTGAAATGGAAAATTGCTGTAAATTATGAAAGGTTATTAGATAGTAATTCCAGACCACCCAAAATTATGCCTTTATTTTAGGCTCTTGAACTTAAAAAAGAAAAACCGAATGCAATACTATTTTCTCTATTTTATCACCATGTATTGGAAGTTGCTTAAAATTTTCAGATTTCTTTTGGGCATGTATCCCTGGCATCCTTGCATTTTCAATAGCATTTTGTGCTCTGTAGATATTTTATGCACATTTTATAAATGAGCCTACACATAGATATTGGGCGGAGGGTACTGTTATCAGACTCGAGACCAGCAGTTCTCAACCTGTGGGTCGCGACCCCTTTGGGGGTCAAATGACTCTTTCACAGGGGTAGCCTGATTGATAACAGTACAAAATGTCAGTTATGAAGTAGCAGTAAAAATAATTTTATAGTTGGGGGGCGTCACCACAACATGAAGAACTGTATGAGAGGGTCTCAGCATTAGGAAGGTTGAGGACCACTGCTCTAGACTGAAGTAAAGAGGACCACTTAGCTCTTCTCAATCTCCTTTGGCAATCCACTTCGGCTCTACTCCTCGTGCCCATTCAACCACACACAGATCTCAGAATCTTCGGGCTTTCTCCGGCTTCCTCATCCAGACCTAAGCTTTTAAGGGTGATCATCCGTGATGCAAATGTGTGCTTCTCCTTCTCTCAAAATTATCCTTATTATTATTCTACTCCCTCTCAGCAAACCTGCTCCTTTTTCCTACTCTGTAACCCGACTGATACCGCCTGTCCTGAGAGTGATCTGGAAACGAAAATGTTCAACTGTTAGACTTCTGTGAACACGTTTATCCACATTGAAGGTCTTAAAAAATGATCATGGAAAAGTTCAGTGTGATAATCTTCATTTTTTCCCCTTTTATTTCCCTAATGGATAATTGCCAATGGTGTGGCACAGGACAAAGGCAGTTATGGACAGGACTCTGGGAAGTGACCTCATTTTCTGCTTGCAAGTATTGCTGGTAAAGATAGCCTGATTTGACAAGACACTTTTAGAAGCCCCCTTTTTCAGAAGAAGTGAGTGAGTGGAGGGGGAAATGGATAATCTCTCATGCCTTTTTTACCAATGCTTCTCGATTTCAGCTGCACACTGGAATCAGCCATGAGGTTTCAAAATCCATTTGTCCAAACCATACCCCCAACTAGCTATAGAGCATGGAATGCAGGCTTCAAGATTTCAAAGAGCTTGCAGGTAGTGAAATTGTGAGAACCACCATCTTTCAGAAGTCTACAGAGGACAAATAGGCCCATTAAGTAAATAAGCCATGTGAGAAAAATTGTGAACAGTGGGGCCTATAGGAATCTATAGAGAGGAAGACAGCAGAGGCTGAGCTCCAACAGAGTGTTGCACCATGGGAAAAGGGTTAGCTGGATGATTAAGAGGAAAGGCTTCAGTGGCTTTCACCTGGGGTCCCTAGCATTTCAGTGCATGAGCTGGAGTGAGTGGCTTGCTCATGCGTTAGTTGCTTCATTTATTACATAGGGGTACTTAGAGATACTTTAACTTTTCTCTTAAAGTTGTTATTTGGATGACATGAAATCATAATAATAAGCACTTTTCAGGAATGTAAGAAATATATTCTGTGCATTTGTGCTATTTTACAATAACGAATATAGAACTACTTTAGTAGTTCACTTGTCTTCTATTCATTAGGAAGTTGAAGTCCAATCTAAGGCAAGAAAAGGAAGATTAAACAAGAGCTAGCAAGACGAGACCCAACATGATCTGAGAAGCAATGACCTTAATATCTTTCAACTCTATTGTCAGCCCCATCCCCAAACCCTAAGAATTTCTTGTAATACTTTTTGTCTTGCTATTTCTCACTTGTTGACCACCTTCTTTTCCCTCAAGCTTTATGACACATCCAAATTATTGAAAGTGATGCACTAATAATCGCTTCTCGGCCTTTTGGCTAAGATCAAATGTAGTATCTGTTCTTATCAGGTTAATTTCTGATACGTCCTCTATCTGAGGACAATATGTTAAATGCATTTTTGCAAGCAGGACTTGGACTAGGCACTAACTCCTTCTACTCCACGCATCAACCTGGCATTGCAGTACTTCCAGGAATGGCGCAGCCCCTTAGGGGGTCTCAAATTTAAAAGAAAGAAAAGAAAGTGAGACACTAATATAGATGAATGAATCAGTAGCATTTCAGCTGAAGTTTGCTACGTGGCCCACCAGCCCAGAACATAGTGGCTACAAGCAATACTACTTTATTTTGGGCTCCTTTTTCTTTCCGTTGGCAACTGGACTGAACACAGCTGGCTGGTTTGTATGCTGAATGCATCTATGTCAACTGCGGACCTTTGGAAACCAAAGCCTGCCCTGAGTTGATTCTGACTGATGTTGTCAGGTGCTGTGCAGTCGGTTCTGACTCACAGTACCCCTGTGCACAACGGACGGAATCACTACGCCGTCTAGGGCCATCCTCGTAATCATTGTCATATTCAAGCCCGTTGTAAATCTGTAAATCTTTGTGGGAGCAGAGAGCACTGTTTATTGAAGTGGGTTGGCAGCTGAGTTTGAACTGCTGACTATGCCCAATGACTAACTCATGAGCCACCAGAAGAGCACTTTATCTGGACGTTGACTTTCCGCAGCTGAGGTGGTAGGGATCATTGAGTTATGTGCAATGGAACCCTGGTGTAGTCATTAGGTGTTGGGCTGCAAACCTCAAGGTTAGTAGTTCTCAACCACCATCCAGCTCTGAGAGAGAAAGACTCATTTTTCTACTCCCGTAAAAAGTTCGTTTCAGAAATTCACAGGGGCAGTTCTACCCTATCCTATATCATCACTGTGAGTCAGAATTGATTCAGTGGCAGTGAATTTGATTTGGTTTGGTCTCTCATTATCTGTCAAGGTAGCCTTGGGCTTGTGAACAGCATGGCAGCTGTTTCCAAGAGTGGCAGGTGTGGAATAGTGGAAGTTGTTGATCAGAAGGATCAGCAATGACATCACATCACTCCCACCTCCCCCTCCCCCAACTTCTTTTTTTTTTTTGGTCAAAGGAAATCGCCAGAACAACCCAGCTTATATATAATGGGTAAGGAAATGGCTTTGATAGGAGTTCCTGCAAAGAACCGTGGCTATTTCTCCCCACCATCTTCTACAATAGCCTCTTAAAATCAAGCAGATGGGAAGAAATGAGGTCATGGCATTGAACATACAAAAGGCACAATGGAGATAGGATTTGGAAATGATTGTGTGTCTGTGGTGAGGGATAGAAAAGCTTTAAGTGGAAGCAGAGGCCTCAGTAATTATGAGAATTGAACTTTGATGAACTGAAATAGAAAAGCCAGAAGGCGAGGGAGCAAGTGGTCTTATCTGTAGATTCTCGTAACATTAAACCCTGAACTGCAGTCCTTTCCTGAAAGCTGCTTTTTATGTAACCATTTTATCCCTGGGGTAGGGTAAAAATTTACATTCATTAATTGGGGACTCAAATGACATTTTCTATTTCATAAATGACTCCATCATGCACTTCTGTAATGCTCATACAATGTTTGAATAGTAGATGTAGTTTATGGTTCAAAAAGATCTTCCTCTGATGTTGATTATTACATTTAAAAACCAAAATATTGAGCTCAGTGCTAAGACTAAAGTTCGTATAATGTTTCAAGAGAATTTGAGAGAAAATTATGAGAATACAAAAAGATCGTGAGAGTTAGTGGCTATTTTCTTTATGCATTTATTGACTCTCTGTTGAATTCCTCTCCAAATATGTTTAGGATAGTTTTGTCATAGTTTTGCTCTCCGAAATATCATTTTAAATTGCCTTTCTTTGCTATAACAATTTTATATAAGGTAATAGACTTCGAAAGAAAATCAGACAAAGGTCGATACTGCCCCCCTCACCCGCACCCCTGAGTTGGTGTTCCCTATGCTTTTGCCGGAACACAGTGTGTTCTCTCTCCTCTCACCTTTGTGAGTTTCACTCTGGCCTTTCTTTCTTTTCACTGTGCTGCACGCACAGGGCTTCACACCCATCCATTCCTGTTCAACCCTCTGCTCAGAATTTGCCTTTCTCCTCCAAACTGAATCAGATTCTGCATTTTAACAAGATCTCTAGGTGATTCTCGTTTATACATCCAATTGCCTATGGAATGTTGAAATGTAGATTCAGATCCAGTATATCTGCCATAGAAATGAAAATTCTGAAACTGCCTTGTCTTCAAACTACAATCCTTAATTCCCATTCAAATCCCAGTGGTGGTTGATTGATGTAGACTGGACTTGACTAGGCGCCAAGATGTTGGCTGGATCTTTTGGGTGTCTCCAATCCTCCTTTGAACACTCACTTTCCCCAGCATTAGCTTCTGAGCATGGTGCTGTTTTAGGAAGATGACTGAGAGCAATTTTTCACGTTTTCCAATTTGAATGCAGATGACTCGATAGCTCAAGATATAAGATGAGAAAATAGGGAACCACATGCAAGCATACCTCTATTGACTTATAGTACATGACAAGCAATTCCATTTCCTTTTCTCCTGAATTTTCCCTTCTATTTATGAATGTGAACTCTACTTGTCAAATTGTGGAATCCATTCTGTCTTCATTTAAGTCCAAAATAACTTTATATTATGGAAATAAAAATCTTCCATCTCAATGTACCCCAAGGCATGTTAAATGGGATAGTGTCCCCTGAGCCAGTAAAGTATATCTTCAATATATATTCTTTCTCCATATACATTATGTCAAGTATTCTCTTAGCAATTATATGAATCATGTAGATTGCACAGATGTGCCTCTGGAAATGCAATAGGGCAAAGGATGCTGGCCCAATGCACACTTTAAATTTTGGATTTCACTGGTACTGACGTAAATAGAAAACTATATATTTTTTTGGTCTGTTTAAATAACATATGTGAGCTACAATTCTAGACTATGATTACTGAAAGGGATTTTAGGCACCATGTAATCCAACTGCACCTTTTGTCAGATTAGCTTAAGTGGCTTCTCACAAGTTGTATTGTGAGTATGTTCAAGAGTAGCCCAGCCTTCCTGATTACCCAATTGACTTTTCCCATCTTATTTCCATCCCTCCTAGGTCACTGCCAGGACAAAATGCCAACAGAGGTTGAAAATGGAAAAGTGAGACAATGTTGTTGCCTGGGGACTATCATTGTGGGGACTTTAAAAGATGATGTTTAATTGCCAAACTAGCTTTTCAGGCAGTTCAAAGTTGTGTGCATATTCGTCTATATTCTGCCCTGGAAGTATAGAATAAACACAGATTTTTCTTGTCTTTGAATATTTGGAGCACTAAAACATTTTGCCATGTGAGCAGAAAAATCCATAATGATAGGAAGCCTATCTCACTCTCCTCTTGAGCCATCTTATAGATTAGGATAGTTCTGGTGGTGTGATGGTTATGAGTTGGGCTGCTAGCTGCAAGGTCTATAGTTTGAACCCACCAGTCACTGTGTGGGAGAAAGAAAGGGGTTTCTACTCCTGTACAGTGTTACATTCCCAGAAACTCACAGGGGCTATTTTATCCTGTCCTACAGAGTCACTCTGAGTGAGCATCTACTCAATGACACTGAGTATGTTTATTTTAGTTTGTCATGTTGCTGACAGTCAACCTCCCTCACAGAGTTTCAGAATAACCAATAAATTGGGCAAAGTTGCTCATTAGATCTACAATTACAACTCAATGTAAAGAAAATAAAAATCCTCACAAGTGGACCAGAAGATAACATCATGGTAAATGGAGAAAAGATTGAAGTTGCCCAGGAGTTCCTCTTGCTTGGATACACAGCCATGGCTCATGAAAACAGCAGTCAAAAGATCAAAGGACACGCTGCATTAGGCAAATCTGCTACAGGAGACCTCTTTAACGTATTGAAAAGCAAGGGTGTTGCTTTGAGGTCTAAGGTGAGCTTGCCTCAAGTCATGGTATTTTCAACCACCTCATGTGAAGGTTGGACATTGAATAATGAAGACAGAAGATTAGATGCATTGGAATTATGGTACTGTTGAAGAATAATAAAAGTGTCCTGGACAGCTAAAAGAACAAGCAAATCTACCTGGGACGACCTACAGCCAGAATGCTTCTTAGAAGCAAGAATGATGAAACTTCACCTCATGTACTTTGGACATGTTGTCAGGAGAGATCAGTCCCTGCAGTAGAGCATCATGCTTGGTAAAGTAGAGGGGCAGCAAGAAAGAGGAAGACCTTCCACAAGGTGGGTTGACATAGTGGCTGCATTGGTGGGCTCAACCCTAAAAACAAGTGGGAGGCTCTCCGAGGACCGGGCAGTGCTTCGTTCTGTAGTACATAGGGTCACCAGGGGTCAAAACTGACTCAATGGCACCTAACAACAGTGATAGCAAGGGCTAACACTATCTTGACCAAGTCATGGTACTGAGTCAAAAAGGGATCTTTTAGAAATTCTAGCCCAGGCTGGGTAATTTACCATGGATCTTATAGTATTGAGAAATGGTTGGGATTGGACCAAGTTTATGTCACAAAAATTTGGATGGCTGCTCATGAGGGTGAGAGGGCCTTGAAGTTATTATAGATGAAAATGTATTGGTCTTAATGATTAAAGTATTTGGTTGGTTCACAGTCTTTTTGTTCATGAGCAAGTTTTTCTTGGAATAACTAGGTAAATTATGTTGTGTGATGCCAGTCTTGTTTAGCCCAACATGAAGCAAGCATGCTTCCTTTTCAAGATTGTTTAGACCAGGACAAATATGGTGGTGTCATTTCTTACTGTTCACTTATTGGCTGATCATCATTACATTGCCCTGAAAAGGAATTGGAGCCAACCAAATGTACATGCAGGGCACATTTATTTAAAAAAATGCTTTGAATTTGCAGCCCTGTAATTTAGTCTGCAGACATCATTAGCCTTGGACTTCGCGGGTCTTACTTATGTGGAGCTGACACTGTTGAGATGTACTGTTTGCATTTGAAGGAGCCTAAGAGAAGTGTACTCATTTGTTCTGTTATGTGTTATGGAAACCTCGCTCTTGAATGCTCGCAACAAAGCCTATCATCTAATGCAGTGAAGAGAGAGTGAGAGGACTGTCTATACCCAACTTCTCTCATCCCTGAAAAGAGATGTTTGATAAAAA